GCCAAAACTATGGTATTGCATACAGCATTGTCTCTAACCAGGAACTCACCTTACTGGCAAAGAAGAGCTGCATTGGGCTCATGCCCATGGAAATCCCTAGTCTTACCCTATTCCCTAACATCCTCAATCAGCTGGTTTAATAAATTGGTAGAGTGGCCTTTTGAAGACTCAGTTACTCAGCTAGGAGGCAATACCTTGCAGGGTTGGGGCAAGGTTCTCCAGAAGGCCAGAAAGGCCATATATGCTCTGAATCAGCATCCAATATGTGGTGCTATTTCTCCCATAACCAGAATTCATGGGTCCAGGAATCAGTGGCTGGAAATCAGAGTGTTACCACTCATAATTACCCCCAGTGACCCACTAGCAAAGTTTGCTTCCTGTTCCTGCCAATTTATGTGCTGCTAGCCTAGAGGTCTTAGTTTCAGAAGGAGGAATGCTTCTACCAGCACACACAACAGTGATTCCATTGAATTGGAAGTTAAGACCTGGCCACTTTGAGCTCCTTATACATCTGATTCAGTCATCCAATAAGGGAGTTAGTTATGGTGTTGACTGGGGTGACTGATCCTAACTACCAAGGGGTGTTTGGATTACTACTCCACAACGAAGGTAAGGAAGAGTATGTGTGGAATAAGGAGATCCCTGAGGGCATCCCTTAATATTACCATGCCCTGTAATTAAGGTCAGCACAAAATAACCCAATCCAGACAGGACTACTAATAGCCCAGACCCTTCAGGAATGAAGGTTTGGGTCACCCCACCAGGTAAAGAATCATGACCAGCTGAGGTGCTGGCTGAAGGCAAAGGGAATACAGAATGAGTAGTAAAAGAAGGTAATTATAAATACCAGCTATGACCATGTGACCAGTTATAGCAATAAGGACTATAATTGCCATGAGTATTTTCTTATGAATGCATTTATATGTATATATACATATATTAAGCATCTATCTTCATTTATATAACATAAGAGGTATTAACTTTATATTAGTATTTAAGTATTTATTTTATATCATAGTATTTAAGTTATAGGATGTCAGGATAAGAGTAAACATTATTCAAACTTTACTTTCACTTCTGGGGAATGTGTTAGTGTGTTTTTGGTTGTATGAAGGATAGTTATAGCATTTTGGTAGAATTATGACCTTATGGAGATTAAATATGGTTAAAGGAGATGCTTATGGGTACCAGGGTGACAAGGGGCGGAATTTGTAATGGTTAATTTTCTGCGTCAGCTTGACTGGGCTAAGGGATGCCCAGATATCTGGTAAAACACTATTTTGGGGTGTGTCTGTGAGAGTGTTCCTGGAAGAGATTAGCATTTCAATTGGTAGACTGATTAAAGAAGATTGCCCTTACCATTGTTGGCAGGGATCAGTCAATCCATTGAGGACCTCAAAGAGAAGAACAAAACAAAACTTGAGGGGAAGGGCAATTTGCTTTCTCTGACCTGGGACATACATATTCTCCTGCTTCTAACATCAGGGTTCCTGGTTGATTCTCTGGCCTTTGGACTTGCTTTCCTGGTTCTCCTGGTTCACCTTTGCAGATGTGGGACTTCTTGGACTCCATAATTGCCTGAGCCAATTCCTATAGTAAATAAATATGTCTCTCACACACACACACTCATACATATGTCTATTAGTTCTGTTTCTCTGGAGAACCATGATTAACACGGAAGGAGAAAAGACTAGGACAGATGAAGTACATGTTTTCAGTTATGTGGTAGTACCTGCCCACCCTTCCCCCCATTTCATTAGAACTCAGAAGAGAGGGACACAAAATAAAAGTGGTCTTCCTGCCTTCAGTAGTAGCATACGTTGAGCATAATTTAATTTATTCTTGATGATCCAGGGTAGTTGTAACAAATGAACACAATTGCTCTATATATAATAAAATGATGACTGAGTTTGTAAAGGTATGCGTGGCCTCTCAATAAAAAATAACAAATGCTTATAAAGTTGTCTTTATAAGTGTGTGCCAGGCACTGAGTGGATTGTATTAATTTCCTAGTTCATGTTTAGTGTTCACTGCTCAAGTTTTCACCTCTATTTATAAGGTACTACTTGTAATCATAGTCAGTATAAGGTAGTGCTGGCCCCAGCACTTACTGGCTAGGTGATGTTGGCAAAGTTACTTACCTTTTCTGAGGTTCATTTTCTTCATTTGTACAGGATTATATGAGTATGTCTATGTAAATATTTATGTATATAAAAGATGTCCCCAAGGGACATTTTCTATCCCCCAGCCTATCCCAAGGACACAAAGACTTGATTCCCACCTATATGGCTCCATGCGATCCATGAATGGAACATAGCCATAAAATGTCACAAAAGTAGTATCTTCCTAAAAGAGTTATGAAGATTAAATGAGAGAATTCAGATAAACCATTTAACACAATGACACCTAAATCCTCTAAATGTTGTGCCTTACTGTATTCCTGTTTGTACTTTGTAAGTTTGAAATAATTGAAGTGCCTAGGGGAAGCCAGATAACCAAACATATTAAATTAATAACCTTTAATATTTTGTAGGGGCTTAAGTCTCTAAGTAGGCTGGGAGGGTTTGGGGAGGAAACAATTAAAAGATTTGTAGAGATAAAGACAAAAAAGGTAGAATGTGATACATGCTAAATGGGTGGTACAAAGTAGTATAGGAGTTTACAGGAGAAAGTGGGCAGTTTTGTCTGGTAATTAAAAAAGACTTGATGGAAGAGGTGACTTATATTGGGCTTGAAGATGAAAGGGTTTCAACAAAAATGTTATATAAGCTAACCTCTTTGCCCCTCTGTGCTGTGTGCATTGTACCAAAAGATGACAGCAACTTTTTGATCATTCCTGAATCTTCAAGGACTCCACTTACAAGTAATGGATTAGTGTCTTTGGTGAAAATCTGCTGAGGAGCTGCAGAATCCTACCTCCCAATTTAAATGTGACCATATGCCTTCAGTACTAAAGAAGAGTAGAAAGTTAAATAACTTCCTTGAGATTCAGTTTCTTAAATGCTAACATTTGTTCATTTAAAAATCAACAGTCACCACCACTTTCCTGTAACAGCATCTGAGATGGAAGAGGCTGTGGAGGCCTGCCAGTCCACTAAGGCATCCTTTCCTGGCTTTTCCGGCCAATCTGAACTCTTAAGTGTTAGGCCCTACTTATATCCAGTGGAACTCAGACTCTTTGTTGCCACTTCCATACAACAGATCACCCTTTTCCTTGAAGGAACAGCTCATCATCATATTCTTCTGCAGGGTCAATAGTCTTAATTTCCTTCACCTTCAGCTTCATATAAGCCAGTTAGGGTTTTTGTAAGGGTAAGTCAATTCTGTTAACACCCCTTGTCTACATGCATATTTCCTCCCTTAAACGAACTCTAATAATTATTCAGTATCTAGTAATTATGACTTCCTTTCAATATATGTTTGATTCTACTGCAGAAATACAATAATATGTGCTAAGATCCTATAGAGTTTTAAAATTTTCTTTTCTATATGCTTACCTGTCTGTAGATAAAGGTTCATAAAGGCATTTATAGACACTGTAAAAGTTAACCAGAAACTGCCTTTTAAAAAATAAACACTATTGTTTTATCTAAAGAAAACAAAAAAATAACAAAAAAAAATGTACAAACCTACTCCCTACTAAACAGCTCTGTTCCTGTAGTTTGGGAGCAGAAATTTAAGTGTGCAAATTTGTATTTCTATAGTTCCAATAAAATAATAGAATTTCCCAGTTGAAAATGTCTTAAGCCTCTCCTCTCCTTCCTAGCTCCATTAAAAGAGCCATTGAATAGTATTGGGTATTTCTTAGAAAAGGATATATATTTCTAAATATATTTTCTATGCATTCGTCAGAAAAAAGATCAAATACATGTGCTTTTAGGCTTTTTCTTTTCTTTTCTTTTGAAACAGAGTCTTGCTCTGTCACCTAGCTTGGAGTGCAGTGGCACAATATAATGGCTCACTGCAGCCTTGAACTCCTGGGCTCAAGCAATCCTTCTACCTCAGCATGCCAAGTAGCTGGGACTACCAGCACACACCACCATCCGCAGATAATGTCTTATTATTTGTTGAGGTGAGGTCTACCCTATGTTGACCAGGCTGGTCTTGAACTCCTGGGCTTAAGCAATCCTCCCGCCTTGGATTTGCTTTTAGTCTTTGCAGTGAATAGAAAGAGAATAAAGCATCAAAAGTTTTTTAATGATTATCTTGTAGATCTGGGTCTGCTATTTACAAGAAGTCGGAGAGAGGCAGAATCTCTCCCTGCCTAAAATTCACAGGTCCAGGGTAGTAGGGAGAGAGTGGCAGAATCTTCACCAGAGGGTATACAGACAGCCAAACACAACATCTCTGTATGACGCAATGAGCAAGCAGGCAGGACGAGCAATATCCCTGTACAGTATACAATGACTGCCATGATACTTGGAAAAGAAAATGGAAAACGATGAATTAAGCTTAGACTTTCAGAGCTATACATGAGCAAATGAGCAAATCTAAACTTGTTCATATGATTGTTCTTGTACCCTCTTTGAGTACAAACAATCCTGTATCACGTGATCCTCACTTTATATATTGCAGCATAGATAATTCACAGTTATCAGGAATACGAAACCTTATTCTTTGGATATGTTATAGATACTAAGAAGAATGTCATATTCTACTGACCTCATGGTAACTCTAGAGGAGAAGTTAAAGATCCAATTCTTTCGCATTAGAAGAAACTGAGCCCTACAGAGTGAAATGGCCTGCCACATGTTAGTAGCATTAGAATTCACTCCCCAAGATTCATTCCAGTGTTGTTCCTGCTCTTATGTTATCCGATTTATTCTCTCCTGGATATTGTCATGTAATGATAAGGGCAGCAGAGAAGTTCAGGGGAAATTACATGATAAGGACAGCAGAGAAGTTTAGGGGAAATTACATCCTAAACCCAGAATTCAAAGAATCAGATAAACTTCTCACAAACAGCTTTGCTGATAGTTGGCCTTTTGTCTGTTTTTCAGATTCTGAACTTGCCTTGATGTACAACGATTCCTCGGTCTTAGAGAACCATCATTTGGCTGTGGGCTTTAAATTGCTTCAGGAAGAAAACTGTGACATTTTCCAGAATTTGACCAAAAAACAAAGACAATCTTTAAGGAAAATGGTCATTGACATTGTAAGTAGCTGATAAAAGCAAAAAAAAAAAAAAAAAAAAGAGAGAGAACTGTGATGCAAGTTGTTTATAATTTAGACATAAGAACAAGATGAGTATTAGGTAAAAGGAACTGCATTTCAAAACATATTATGGCCCTTTATGTTATAGAAGCTGCCCATGATGCTGGCTGTGATGTTCTGTAATAGGTTTTTCACTTCTAGCAGTTTGGACTTGAGAATAATGTCAGCTCACCCTCATCATTTATTTTCTGAGCCCCTCCAGTCCAGTGGCAGGCAGAGAAAGATGACTAACAAAAGCAGATTGTGTGGGCCACAGCTCAAATGGATTTTTTTTCCACATTTTCTCATCAGTAGACAGTGCCATTTAGAACATCCATGACTTTACTCTTTTTTCTATGCATCTTATTCAGTGATTATGAGACACAGGAAAATCTCTAGCTTTCAAAAACCTACTCTGTTAAATTTTGTACATGCAAAGGCAAGAATGATCTGTCTTTTAAAAGAAAATTAACCAGAATATTTTGTTTCTGAAGCAGTCTTTAAGCAACCTTGAATCAGTTCATCATAGTCTAGCAACTACTTTCTGGTCCAAGGAATGGAAAAAACTTGAAAACGTGTGATGATGTCTTATCCATGGAGATGTCATCCCATTTTTGACCATGAAAGTGGTTGTCAGTACCTAGCATTTCTGTATATTACACACATTTATCTGGGCTTAAGGAAAACTTGATAGCAAAGGGGAAAGGACTCTGCCCCCAAGAAGGAGTAAGGAATTTCTACTGTCATTAAAAGGCATAGTGTTGTTTTGTTCCTTTTTCATTCTCATATTCTGCATAATATTTTCATGTGTAAATTGTTTTCTCTGAACTGTACTCAATAATATACCCTTTGTATTTTAAGGTACTTGCAACAGATATGTCAAAACACATGAATCTACTAGCTGATTTGAAGACTATGGTTGAAACTAAGAAAGTGACAAGCTCTGGAGTTCTTCTTCTTGATAATTATTCCGATAGGATTCAGGTAAAGCCTTAATAGAGTTTGCTCTGTGTGTGTGTGTGTGTGTGTGTGTGTGTGTGTGTGTGTGTGTGTGCGCGCGCGCGTGCGCGCACACATATGCACATGACTGTGTTCAGCTTTGATAAGATGTATTTCTTCTTTCTCCCACCTTATACTTTCAGCAATTATAGGCAGGATTTTTATCCAAATTTTTATTCCTGAGAATTAACCAGGCAAAATTCTACTGGCCTTTTCATTTGCATCTACATTAATTTAAAAAACTAACACTCCACAGAACCTGCCAATTAAGCAGCTCTGAATCTAGTCAACCATGCACATAAACAGTTTCTCTTATGCTATTTAGATGCAGTAGAAGTGGCATAATTTGGAACTATTAATACAAGTGTGAACCATACATAGACACATCATGGTTGAGCTGTTTGGAATAAATCTTACACCATGTGTATTTTTAAGTGTCGCAGTCATCCGATGTGAATATCTAGATTTTTTTTTTTTGAAAAGGAACAGGAGTGAATAGAAAATGCATCCATCTATTTTAGGTTCTTCAGAATATGGTGCATTGTGCAGATCTGAGCAACCCAACAAAGCCTCTGCAACTGTACCGCCAGTGGACGGACCGGATAATGGAGGAGTTCTTCCGCCAAGGAGACCGAGAGAGGGAACGTGGCATGGAGATAAGCCCCATGTGTGACAAGCACAATGCTTCCGTGGAAAAATCACAGGTAATGCATGAAGTGTACAGTTTTCAGGGATAACAGAGCTACCGCTTTAGCATTTGGTTACTTTGTATTACATATGATAGTATTTTACTGGATTTTTAAAATTACTTTGTTTTTGACAAGCTCAATTTCACCTTAGTATTTATGATCCAAAACACTTTCATTCTTATGACTTACATTCATATAGTCATATAGATATTCTAAGAAGATATTCGTTTATTATGACTATATTCATTTAATATATTCATATACATAGAGCATATGGCATTATTACAGTTATCTGGATTCACCTACAAATTGGTGATTCTAAAATAAGCCCTACCATGTCAACAACTGGAAAATTTTTTATGCTGTGAACATGCTCTTTAACCAAGGGTTCTAGAAGCTAATTTTGACCAGCCAGTAACAATACTTTGTATGGTCTGTTGTCGAAAATAGTGATAATTTTACCAAACTAAATTTAGTAGTCTTCTGTTCAGTATTTTATTTGTGGCCCATGATCTAGTTAAGCTTTTCCACTGTTTCTTAGTCCCAAGTCCTTTACTCATACTGGATTTTTTTCTTAACTAGGTGGGCTTCATAGACTATATTGTTCATCCCCTCTGGGAGACATGGGCAGACCTCGTCCACCCTGACGCCCAGGACATTTTGGACACTTTGGAGGACAATCGTGAATGGTACCAGAGCACAATCCCTCAGAGCCCCTCTCCTGCACCTGATGACCCAGAAGAGGGCCGGCAGGGTCAAACTGAGAAATTCCAGTTTGAACTAACTTTAGAGGAAGATGGTGAGTCAGACACAGAAAAGGACAGTGGCAGTCAAGTGGAAGAAGACACTAGTTGCAGTGACTCCAAGACTCTTTGTACTCAAGACTCGGAGTCTACTGAAATTCCCCTCGATGAACAGGTTGAAGAGGAGGCAGTAGGGGAAGAAGAGGAAAGCCAGCCTGAAGCCTGTGTCATAGATGATCGTTCTCCTGACACGTAACAGTGCAAAAACTTTCATGCCTTTTTTTTTTTTTAGCAGAAAAATTGTTTCCAAAGTGCATGTCACATGCCACAACCACGGTCACACCTCACTGTCATCTGCCAGGACGTTTATTGAACAAAACTGACCTTGACTACTCAGTCCGGCGCTCAGGAATATCGTAACCAGTTTTTTCACCTCCATGTCATCAGAGCAAGGTGGACATCTTCATGAACAGCGTTTTTAACAAGATTTCAGCTTGGTAGAGCTGACAAGGCAGATAAAATCTACTCCAAATTGTTTTCAAGAGAGTGTGGCTCATCAGGCGGCCCAAAAGTTGATTGGACTTGGGGTTTCTATTCTTTTTATTTGTTTCCAATATTTTCAGAAGAAAGGCATTGCACAGAGTGAACTTAATGGACAAAGCAACAAATATGTCAAGAACAGGACATAGCACGCATCTGTTACCAGTAGGAGGAGGATGAGCCACAGAAATTGCATAATTTTCTAATTTCAAGTCTTCCTGATACATGACTGAATAGTGTGGTTCAGTGAGCTGCACTGACCTCTACATTTTGTATGATATGTAAAACAGATTTTTTGTAGAGCTTACTTTTATTATTAAATGTATTGAGGTATTATATTTAAAAAACTATGTTCAGAACTTCATCTGCCACTGGTTATTTTTTTCTAAAGAGTAACTTGCAAGTTTTCAGTACAAATCTGTGCTACACTGGATAAAAATCTAATTTACAAATTTTACTTGCACCTTATAGTTCATAGCAATTAACTGATTTGTAGTGATACATTGTTTTATATACCAATGACTTCCATATTTTAAAACAACAGAAAAACAACTTTATGTTGCAGGAAACCCTTTTTGTAAGTAAGTCTTTATTATTTACTTTGCATTTTGTTTCACTCTTTCCAGATAAGAGTTGCTCTTCACCAGTGTTTTTCTTCAGTGTGCAAAGTGACTAATTGTTCTATAATACTTTAATGTGTGTTCTATCAAATATGTCTTAAGCTTCATGCGAATTCAGTCATCTGCTGGTGTTGTCTGAAGCAAGTGGGAGATATATAAATACCCAGTAGCTAAACTGGTCAGTGTTTTTGAGATGTTTTCCTACTTAGTATCTCCTAATAACGTTTTGCTGTGTCAATAGACATGCATTTCACAAGTGCATATCTTTCTAATAATCTGCACATTTCATGCTCATTTTTATTGTTTTTACAGCCAGTTATAGTAAGAAAAAGGTTTTTCCCCTCGTGCTGCTTTATAATTTAGTGTGTGTTTGAACCTCTGTCCATTTTGCTAGATGAGGTCTTGTCAAATATATCACTACCATTGTCACCAGTGAAAAGAAACAGGTAGTCAAGTTAGGGTTAACATTCATTTCAACCATGAGGTTGTATATCATGACTAGATTTTACTCTTGGTTTACAGAGAAAAGTTAAACAGCTAACTAGGCAGTTTTTAAGAATATTAACAACATATTAACAAACACCAGTACAATAACTAATCCTCTTTGGTTTTAATGATTTCACTATGGGATTAAGAACTATATCAGGAATATACCTGAGAAATGGTTTTAAGTATAGCAACTACTCTTCCTTAATGGACAGCCACATAACATGCAGGAATTGCTTTATCACTTATCCTCGATCTATAAGCATATCTATCTTGCAGAGGGGAACTACTTCTTGAAACACATGGAGGGAAAGAAGATGATGCCACTGGCATCAGAGGGTTAGTACTGTGATGCATCCTAAAATATTAGATTGGTAAAAATTCTGCTTAAATAAAAAATTAGAGATCACTCTTGGCTGATTTCAGCACCAGGAACTGTATTACAGTTTTAGAGATTAATTCCCAGTGTTTACCTGATTATAGCAGTTGGCATCATGGGGCATTTAATTCTGACTTTATTCCTATGTCAGTCTTTGTAATAAAGTCTTTACCTTCTCTATGAAGACTTTAAAGCCCAAATAATCATTTTTCACGTTGATATTCAAGAATTGAGATAGAGGCCAAAGTGGGTATCTGACAAGTGGAAAATCAAACATTTAAGAATAATTACAACCCTGAAAAGCATTTCTATTTGGAACTTCTCAAGGAGCCTTCCAGGGACTGGAAACTAAGTCATCAGCCAGGGAAATGACTCAAGCTGAAGACAGTCCCCTGAGATCTGGCTGATGCTTAGATCCTTTGAAATAAAAATTATGTCTTTATAACTCTGATCTTTTACATAAGGCAGAATAGGAATCAACTAGTTAATTGCAAGGTTTCTACTCTCTTTCCTCTGTAAAGATCAGATGGTGATCTTTCAAATAAAGACATATATTTGACCAAGTAGTTTCACAAGAACATTTGGGAACTTGTTTCCTTTTAATTTTATTTGTCCCTGAGTGAGGTCTAGAAAGAAAGGCAAAGAGTCTAGAATTTATTTTTTCTTTCCAAAACATTCTCATTCCTGTCCTCCCTACACTTAGTATTTCCCCCACAGAGTGCCTAGAATTTTAATAATGAATAAAATAAAAAGCAGCAATATGTCACTTAAATCCAGACCTGAAAGGGTAAAGGGTTTATAACTGCACTAATAAAGAGAGGCTTTTTTTTTTTCAGTTTGTTGGTTTTTAATGGTACCACGTTGTAAAGATACCCACTAACAGACAATCAAATTGCAGAAAAGGCTCAATATCCAAGAGACAGGGACTAATGCACTGTACAATCTGCTTACCCTTGCCCTTCTCTCTCGCCAAAGTGTGCTTCAGAAATACACACTGCTTTAAAAAAGAATATCCTTTTACAAGTGGCTTTACATTTCCTGAAATGCCATAAGAAAATGCAATATCTGGGTACTGTATGGGGAAAAATATGTCCAAGTTTGTGTAAAACCAGTGCATTTCAGCTTGCAAGTTACTGAACACAATAATGCTGTTTTAATTTTGTCTTCTTTTATATCAGTTAAAATTCACAATAATGTAGATAGAACAAATTATAGACAAGGAAAGAAAAAACTTGAATGAAATGGATTTTACAGAAAGCTTTATGATAATTTTTGAATGCATTATTTATTTTTTGTGCCATGCATTTTTTTCTCACCAAATGACCTTACCTGTAATACAGTCTTGTTTGTCTGTTTACAACCATGTATTTATTGCAATGTACATACTGTAATGTTAATTGTAAATTATCAGTTCTTATTAAAACATCATCCCATGATGGGATGGTGTTGATATATTTGGAAACTCTTGGTGAGAGAATGAATGGTGTGTATACATACTCTGTACATTTTTCTTTTCTCCTGTAATATAGTCTTGTCACCTTAGAGCTTGTTTATGGAAGATTCAAGAAAACTATAAAATACTTAAAGATATATAAATTTTAAAAACCATAGCTGCAGGTCTTTGGTCCCAGGGCTGTGCCTTAACTTTAATCAATATTTTCTTCTGTTTTGCTGCATTTGAAAGGTAACGGTGGAGCTAGGGCTGGGCATTTTACATCCAGGCTTTTAATTGATTAGAATTCTGCCAATAGGTAGATTTTACAAAACCACAGACAACCTCTGAAAGATTCTGAGACCCTTTTGAGACATAAGCTCTTAAGTACTTCTTGCCAGGGAGTAGCACTGCATGTGTGATGATTGTTTGCCATCTGTTGATCAGGAGCTACTTCAGCTACTTGCATTAGAGTATTTCCTTTTTTTTTTTTTTAACTCGGAAACACAACTGGGGAAATACATTCTTTCCCAGTGATTGATTATAAACAATCTTTTTTTAAAAGTCTTTTTAGCTTCTAGAGCTCATAGGAAAATGAACTTGATTTGAAATTGGAGCCAGAGTTTACTCGTGTTGGTTATCTATTCATCAGCTTCCTGTCATGTTAAGAGAATATATTAAAGAGAAAATACCATTTTTTAATCCTAAAATTTTTCTTCCACTAAGATAAACCAAATGTCCTTACATACATGTAAACCCATCTATTTAAACACAAAGTTGTGTCTGATGTCAGTTTACATAGCAGAAAGCATTCACCATCCTCTAAGATTTGTGTCTGCAAAACTTTCATTGCTTTAGAATTTTAAAATTTAACCTTGTACAATGGCCAGCCCCTAAAGCAGGAAACATTTATAATGGATAATATGGAAATGTCCTCCCACTACTTGCCCAGCCCTTGAATCACGTGGCTTTTCAGTGAAAGGAAAGATTCTTTTTCTGGGAATAATGAGCCTCCTATTTTATTTTATTTTATTGTTTGACACAAACTGTAGATTTTAGCAGCCCTGGCCCAAAGAAATTTGATTACTTTTGTTTTAAACAGTACAAAGGGGACACTATAATTACAAAAACATCCTTAACTGATTTGAGTTGTTTTTATTTCTTTGGATATGTTTTCAGAGTGGTAAATTGTGTGTGAGAATTACAAATGATTCTTTTAGTGGTTTCTTAGCCTCTCTTACAGCCCACGGGGATAGTACTGTACATCAATACCTTCATATGAAATTTTTATATGCAATGAAAATAAAAGCATGGGTTGATTCTGCCTATTTATGACTCAATATTTTACAAATAAAAGATTATTCATTTTATAGTTCAATCAGCACGTTTCTTAGGATACTGAACGTGGTTCAAAGGAGAATAGTGACATCGTAAGTTAGTACTGATATTCATAACCAAATGAAGCCAACTCGAGTTATTTTGCTACATTAAAATTACCAAAATTACTTAGATGACCTATAAAATTAAGCACAGTATTTTCTAAGCAAGCTTTGGAAGGGGCCTTCCATACTTAATTGAATTTTCTGGGATACTGAGAATTATTCAGACACTTGACAATTATTTGTCGGTTACCTACTCTGCAAACTACAAAGTTTTAAGGATTCAACAATAAGTTAATGAAACACCGTATTTGCTTTCATGGAGCTTACAGTCTGGAGGGGACAAAGGCGTTAAACAATTCAATACTCATATAATTATATACATGATCAGTACAATGAAGGAGCTCAGTGGGGTGAATAAGCAGAAACCTGAACTTGATCTATTCCGGAGGGCCAGGGAAGGCTTCCTTGAGGCCTTGAGAAAGTGATTTGCATCTGAGTTCTGAAGGATTTTAAGAGGTAACTAGGGGAATAGTTGATAGAAAGAGGAAGGGGACCAGACAGGAAACATTTGCAAAGATCTTGAGGCATAAATGAGCTTGAGACATCTGGAGAAACTGAGGAAAAGTGAGAGAGTAGGTAGGGCCTGGAGCCGCAGAGCCATTGCTAACCATCCTGTGTGAGAGCTCCCCCATTCTGTAGCTTTATTCTCATAACCCTGCTCCATTTTCTTTATAACATTTCTCACAGATTTATATATGCAGCTGTTTTTGTTGTCTGTCTCTCCCACCAGACCACAGCTCCGTGAGAGCAAGCTCTTTGCCTACCAATATATCACTAGCACTTAAAACTATGCCTGGTTCACAGTAGGTTCTTAATATGTGTTGAATATAGCCACCAAATTGATACCGGATATAATTCAATCTGATAAGATATTTTGAGATATTAAAGAGTTTTTAACTTGATACCATAAGAACTTTGTTTGTTTTTTGTTTTTGAGCTTACTAAGATCCTGGATAAAGAGTTTAGAGTTTCCTGTCTCTTTGCTAACTAAAAACTCTGTTTGCTTATTCCTCACAAATTCTACTTTTTTCTAAATGACAAAACAATCCATTTGTCATGATAATGAGAGCAAAGAAATCAGCACAAATTTAATCCCCTGATAATCTCCAAACCATGCCAGCAGAATAAGGGTAATTAAACAGAGTATCTATGCTTAGCCTCTCCACCATTTCTCCTGCCACAACAGTCCTGATAGCCCAATGGAGCTGCCAAATTTGTGCCTTCCTGGGAATAACTGTTTTAAAATCAAGCTCCCTTCCCCAAAGCCATGACCCCAAAGTGAGACTATGGAACTAAGGAAGCAACTCCCTTCTTTTCCCGACTTGCCATACTTGCTGATTTAGGCTAATTTGGGTGGTGTTGGACCTGAACTCACATTAAAATCACTGACCTGGAAACCTTTCCTCAGGACACGGCTTTGGACCCACAACAGCAACATTCCACCAAAAAACAAACCAAAACCAAAAACATTCCCTGTTGCTAGAGAGTACCACCAACCCTCCAAGGCGAGGACAACCTTGTGTCAGTGGAATCATACCTGGGTTTTCCCATTCTTCTGATTTGAGTACTGCATCCCACTCAGCTACTCCGACAGCTCCAAATACTCAAGATCAAACTCAGTGCTATGGGTATAAATATTGAATTTGTGCACCCAGGAAATACTACTTTCTTTATTTCCTTTAAAACAATCTGGACTCAGGGCTCCAGCCAGTCACACACTATTGGGAATTTCCATCTGTCATTAGTGGCACAGCTCCTCTCTCTCCCAACATAAAAAGTATCTTATTTCCAACATAATCTGAGTATCAGACCTCTGTGTGGTTCCAGCAGAGGTTCCTTACAGTCCCTCAGCTCTTAGCTTCCTGGCCACACGTGGTGTACCAGGAATATATGCTGGTTTGAGGCCCTGCTTCCACACAGGGTGTGCATCAAAAGAGCCTATCCTTCCGGTGTTTTATTACACCTTGCTGTGGTCTGAATGTCTGTGTTGAAATGCTAACCCCTAGGTGATGCTATTAGGAGATGGGGCCTTTTGGGAGATAATTAGGTTATGAAGGCAGAGTCCTCATGAATGGGATCAGTGCCCTTATAAAAGAGGCCCGGGACCTTGTTCAACCCGGCCACCATGTGAGGACTCAGCTAGAAGTTGCCATCTGTGAAAATGAAAGCAGGTCCTCACCAGACACCAAATCTGCCAGAACCTTGATGTTGGACTTCCCAGCCTCTAGACTGTCAGAAGTATATGTGTGTTGTTTATAAGCCGCCTGCTTTATGGTATTTTCTTATAGAAGTCTAAGGAGACTAAGACATACCTACTGAAATTACTACAAAAAAGCAGTACTCTCCTTTTCCTAATTATCAACCCACTCTCCTCCTTCTCTCTCCTTCCTTCCTTCTTTTGCTCTCCAATGAGATTAGGCTTAAAAATAAAAACAAAACAGACTAGAGGTAGTTGTGACTTCCATTTGCTTCTGCTCTCCACTCTGCAAAAACCCCGGTTATTATTTGAAATATGGAGATGAAAAAAGATATTGGAAGAGCATATATTAAATAATAGTCCATTAACCTTCCACACAGGGTTGGCAACATCTAGATCCAACAATGTTCACTGAACATTTTGAGATGTGGGAAGGTGAGGAAATTGTCTCCAGGAGGAAGTCATCAGGACCTCCCATACTTCCTATGTGGGAACACAGGGAAAGAGGCATTTTTTCCTGAAGCCTCTGTGTTCCAATGCTATCCCTGAACATCTATTCCCAGCTCTCACTTAGCTGTTTCAATGACAAGATACAGCACTTGAAAATTTACAAAGTGAGGGTCATATTTGCTCCCTGCTGCAAACCCCCATCCTGCCATTCCAGGACCCTGTTATGGTCCACAAGTGGCATTATGATTCACTCTATTTTGTAGCTATGAAAAGTGAGGCCCAAGAAGGTTAATTGACTTGGTTAAGATTATTCACAGGCTAAATACTGAGACTAATGACTTGCAAACTACAGATTTGACAGAATTCTTAATGCTATCTCTACATCCTATTTCTGTTGAAGACCAAAATTGACTGTTGCATTGCCTTTGATCTCCTTTGACCATCCTTCATTACAGATTTCAGTAATTTTACAGTCCAAAGCTAGGTGACTGATATTATATCATATGCATTTGTTAACTCACCCTACGTCTGCATAGCGTTGCTATATGGTCAGAATTCTCCAGATTGAGTGGGAAACTTGGAGTTAAAGAGCCCCTGACTACCTAAAAAAATTATAGAAAATGAAAGAAGCTGTCAAGAAAGTAAGGAGCAGAGATGGGAGCGTGCCTCTGCCTGGCAGAGACTCACAACATGGGGCAAGGCAGATCTTAGCGCAACTTCTTCCAGGACGTATTCCTCAATGAAAGGAATGGAGTGCGGGCAGCATCCAGCTTAGGCTGGAGCCCCTTCCACCATCATGGCTGTTTAAGCAAGGTGTTTGCCAGGTGCTCACAAATCCCAAGCCAACAGACATGGTTTCAGGACCTGAATCACACAAACATATTTCTGAAAGGCTCTATCACCTGAGAGTTGCTTTTCCTTCCCTCCTTGTTTTTAAAACAAAAAGCAGAACAAGTGCATAGTGGCAAACACTTGCTTAGCACCCATCCATGCAAGGCACTGCTTTACCACCAGGCTGCATTAATTCGAGAACCCAACCGTCTCTCACCTTGCATCTTCTTCACACTTTGCTCATTTTCTTTCTAACACTGATGGTTTCTGTTTCCTGCTGTTCAGTTACAGCATCTGGGAAGAGAGTGGCAGAGAACGCCAGGCGACTGCACCCTGCCACAGTGGGTCAAGCAGAGGCTAGGTGCTGACACCCATCTCTACCCAGCAGAAGTCAGTGGTTCATGGGTGGGGAACAAAGCTCAGGACAGCTGCTGCAGTCCAGAGAACTGTCCACCATAGAAGACTCTTAGGAAGCAGTCCCCGACCCCGACCCTCTGTGCTTTTCGAAGCCGTGTCTGGTATCACATGGAATTATGCAGTAGTCATAGAATATCTTTGAAAACTTATATTCTAAAAATAATTGCTGGGATCAGTGATTAAAATATCTAATGAATGGACTGGAAAAGTCGAAAACAAGCAAAGGTGAGAGAAAAAAATTGAGGAAAACTGGGAGAAAGTGAAGGAAGGTGGACCCTTTGTGCCACAGCATCCAAGGACAGTTGATGATACCTTCTGTTCCCCACAGGACCAGGTTCCTGGTGCTTAACGTAATGCATAAGGCCCTGAAGGATCTAATCAAACTAAATCATCCCCAACTCCTCCCTCCAGCCCCACATAAATACCCCTGTGCTAAATGCTGCCTTGACATCTTGCCTTTACATCTCTCTGCCTGGAAAACAGCTCATCCCTCTTGATCCAGTTTAAATACACCTTTGTCTGGAAAGCCTTTCCCATTAGTATTTTATACACACCCCTATAATATTTCCCCTAAAATATGTTGTATTTTTTTAAAATTTTTTCTTCTCTCACTAGATTGTGAGATTTTTATTTTTTATTTTTGAGACAGTCTTACTCTGTCACTGAGGCTGGAGTACAGTGGTGCAATGTTGGCTCACTGCAATCTCTGCTTCCTGAGTTCAAGTGATTCTCCTGCCTCAGCCTCCCGAGTAGCTGGGATTACAGGCATGTACCACCACATCCAGCTAATTTTTGTAATTTTTTAGTAGACATGGGGTTTCGCCATGTTGGCCAGGCTGGTCTCAAACTCCTGACCTCAGGTGATCCGCCCACCTTGGCCTCCCAAATTGCTAGGATCACAAGTGTGAGACACCACGCCTGGCCTAGATAGTGCAATTTTTAAACAATGTATTCCTTTTTGGCTGCTAGTAAGGAATTAAGTAAGGATATTAATATTTGACTATTCTTTCCCCTCTAACACCAACTCTTCTCAAAATGTGGTCCTTGAGCTGAAATTAATGTGAACTAGGATCTTGTTAGATTATTATCTAGCCCCAGACCAAGCCTCCAGGAAAAGACTCTCTAGGGGTGGACCCTAGAACCTGTGTTTTAACAAGTACTCCAGGTGATAAGTATGCTCCCTAAAGTTTGAGAAACACTGTTCAAAGCATCATGGAGATGTTTTTCTATTTTTGTTTTTTTTTAAGAAGCAAGTTAATAATCTCAACCACCTTTCTAAGGTATTGCATTTAATCAAAGGGATACTTGTTGCTGCAGGAGTTACAACAGATGACCTAGTGAGGGCCACAGGCAGTCTGAGGAACAGTTGTATTCCATGTTTGGCCAATGTCCATCAAGAAAGAAAGGAATAGTGAAGCCAGCTATTAGCTCCCTCCGGCAGAGGAAACCTGGGACTGGGAGTCACCATCAGGCAATAATGGCATCACAAGCAGGCATGGGTTAAAGATTTAAATGTTGTAAAAAGAGAGAAAAACCAGAAGGAAATTACATCCACAGGATCCCTGCAAGACCATTAATGTAATGAACAGAAATCAAACACCTTCTCAGTCTTCAGGTGCCCTATTCAGGCTCACTCTGCTAATCACACAGCTGAGTGCCCCTCTGCTTTTGTAACTGTGTGAAACCACACATCCCAACCCAAGATGACTGGGGATCTACCACCACAAGGGGCCACCAAAGAGCCAAATGACACAACCCAGAAGTTCAGTGGTGGTAACACTCCATGGGGTTAACTTTAACTACTGGGAAACTAGAGATGGGAAGGAGCCAGTAAATTAATTTCTTCTTCTCTCCCAAGACTATACTGAGCCGTAGCCTGCCCCTTGAAGCCCATCAGGATGATTCTGCAGTTCCATGTCAGCAGGAGCGCCTACCAAGCGACCTGCAGTGTCTCTTGGCTGCTCCTTGTAAGTCAGTAGCCAGCATAGAAACATCTTCCCTACTTTC